AGTGATAGCTAGAGTGATCTCTTTTCCCTTCATTAAGCAAATTCTTCCTCTTCTTTGACATAGTATTAAGTAAGCATATTACTCCATGAATGAGATAATTCAAACATTTCTTATTCAACTCCATAAGACTTCCTTCCTTTTTATAAAAAGATTAAGCTAGGTACACGAAAAAGTGCATATACTTGACTATAACCTCCTAGAAATAAGAGAGTGGTTCTTATCAAGTACGTGTTTCATTGGGAACACTATTATTAATAATAGATAAAATACTATGATTGGTAAACCCGAAAAACAAAACTAAAGATTGCCTAGATATGTCATTTAAAATTATAAATTCAAATTAAGAGTGCCATCTAAAGTCTCTCTACATTTACCTTCTATTGAAATCCCAACAATCTTTTTAGTTTAATTCAATGAAGAAGGATTATTTCAATGTTAACAATATCAAAAATTTCAACAATCTTAACAATATTTTATGTGCATTTATTTTATGTTGGAAATCAATGGATAAATATGTAAATTTATCCCTAATCTTATTTCTCAGTACACCTAGTACCCTCCATTATTTTTAAGGGTGGGATTTGACCCATGATTTTTCTAGTGCAATTTTTTTGTGGCACCCAAAAATAAGATTATGAGTAAAATTATACCACCAAAAAGATTGAGTGTCGGGTGCATAAGAATGTAAGATCAAGGCTAAATTTGTACTTTTACCCAAAATCCAAATAAAGATATTGTTAATATGCAAATAAAGAGACAATATTAAATGAAAATATTGATGAGATTTGAATTTTTAATTTGAAATAAAGAGGTTGTTAAGAATTCAATGTAAAATAAATTGCAAGGGAGACGTTGCAGGCTCGCGGAACACTATATTAGAATTCCACAATGGAAAATGTGACCCAATTTTCATCGAATATAAATAACTCATGATATTAGCAACAATGAGAATGCTTACCTTTTTTTTTTTTTGGTTGCCTTGTTACGTTGGTGATATGATCAGTCATCAATTATTGCATGCCTCCATATATCTTTCCAAGAACATAAAAGTAGATAGAGTATAGAAACTGGGTCTTGAGCTTAATCTAGTATTAGATGAAGGCATGCATTAAAAACTACTTGAGTACTAAAAATCCACTAAATCACAGTAACGTCACAACCAAAATAAAACTATACAGAGAATATAATGAAACAAAGTCACAAGTGCTTGCGAAGTTACACGAAGCAAAGTCGAAGCTCCTGTGCAATCCTCAAGGATCACAAGTTCCTGAACTCTTCTGTCCTATCTTCCAGACGTCATCAATAACTTTTCTCTTTGCATTTACTTTGCATCAAAATCTCAAAATTCTCTCCCTATCCATTGTAGCAGCAACACGTTGAAGGCGAATAGAATAAAAGAGGAAATATGACGCACACAAGAATTGTCAAGAATGTGAAACTAAATTCCTTAGACATGGGACCAGAAATAGGAAAAATGTGATCAAGAGAAATCATGCCTGATTATTCTTCGCACTCACAGGAGCAGATATAGCGAGGAAGAGTTGTTAACACATGAAGCGAAGACTGCCCACTCCTACCTTTATAGAATCCAAAATCGTAATAAAGGATGGAAGCAGGAATGCCAAGATAAGCATTGATGAAGTCCCACTCTTGAAAAACGGAAAAGCCAACAATAAATGGAGATAGAACAACCAAAGCAGATGCATGCACCAAGGATGAAATTACGTGCACGTGTTAGGCCACTTAAAAGATGGCAGCCCCACACGCAATGGACTGAGGAACAAATAAGAAGCATAAACGCCTACTCTCACTACCCAAAAAATTAAATGCCAACAATAAAACATAAATTGTGACCCCTGAACTTCGGGAGAAAATCTAATCTAATAAAATCAAACACTAAAATTGCTATCGTTACTCCACCTAAAATCTTAGTTAAATAAATAAGTAGTTATCTAAATCTAAATTATTCCACAAAGTGATTTAGAGTCATTTCATTTTCATCACTTTACAAAGTAACTCATGGGCTCTTCATTTTTAAAAATATTGAAAAGAGTGCAAGTAATTATATACTACCTCTGGTCCTAATTATAAGACCTCGTTTATACACTATAAATGATATCTTATAATTAAGATCGGAGGTAGTAGTTCCTTGAATTATTCGATAACTGATTTAAAATCTCATTTTCCAAGGTGGTTTTTTTCCCCTAAAAAGACCTTTAAGTTCCAATAGTATATATCCGTGCATGTGCCACCAAACCTTTTATATATCCATACCAAGACATCTAATCGGCTATTTCATCTCCATTTAATAACCATCCACATCTCAATTAGATAAAAAAAACAAACCACTACCTAAAACTGTCACGTGGACCAATCACAAAACCGTTACAAGATTTATAGGATATACAAATTTTAATCATTAAGTGTATGTTTGGATTATCATTTCCAACAGTAAAAGTGTCTTAGAAATGGTGAAACTGAGTTGGACAAAAAACGTTGTTTGACTGAGTTAACTTTTCCAACTAACTTCTGGCTTTCAACTTCAATTGGACTCAATGGAGGAAAATCTGACTTTTCAAACTACAGTTTCAAACGGTGATCATTAAAAATGAGTATCCCAGAGTTACCCTCATATTTTCCCCTCTGCCTTATCTCTTTTGTTAGCATAATAAGCTTTTATTCAGACCAAATGAATTTTAATTTATATTCAAGTTTGTCTATTATATATATTTAATTAATTATCTACAATGTGTTTTTAAATTTTTTTCAGCAAGAAATATTTTTATTTTATAATTTCAAAAATAAACTATTTATATTTTATCATAATAATTTTATGTATTTTTTTTAAAACTATTATCACATTAAACACATAAAATTTCAAATATTACTATTCAATAAAGTCTATATCCTTTGCAATCATTTTACAACTAAACTAACTTTTCTATTAATCATCCAAACAATTTTTAACTTTTTCAACTGACTTTTTAAAAGCACATATCTAAACATACCCTAACTGATTTTTATTCTAATTTCAGTTATAAAAATCAGTTGGGCTAGAAGTTAGTTTTACCCAATATCAATCCAATCATATGCTAATTAGTTACCGGGGTTCCCTTTCCTATTATTGCATATAGTACACAGTGGAAGATTATTTGAGCACTAAATTAAGAAACATATATATAGCTGGAAGCCTAGGGTGCTTGATGGGTTCCCACTTTTCCATGCTGGCCATTGCGTACGCACGCACGCAACGAGCGGGTCTGGATTCTCTCAGCGTCTCTCAGCGTCCCAATATCTACCATCAGATTGATCTAAGAGCTCACAATATGCCATATCATCATGCTATTAAAAATTAAAAATAAATCTAATTAATGGTATAAAATTGCCTTTTTTTATAAAAAAAAAACAAGAACTATTCTTTTTTTAAAAAAATCTGAGTGCAACACCTAATTTCTTAGATCTACTTGTTTTAACTGTAAAGTTTATTAAGAGTCCAAATTAATATAAATTGAGTCAGATAAGACCACAAAGAGAGGCAAAGTTCTGCCATTAAGTAAAAATACTTGATATAGTTTTGCCAGTCTCTATGGTTTTGCCTACCTTGATCTGTATTAGATTGATCTTAGATAAATTTTCCAGTCTAAGATGGATAAGTCCAAAAAAATTATATATAAATATTTGATTGTTAAGTTTTTTCATTCTTTATGGTTATCTGGATAAGTTTGAACTCTGAGCATCTCATAGATTCTCTGGCTAAAATGAGCCAGGTGAAAAAAAACTGAATATTCCATGCTAAAAATAATCCCAGTTGAAATCTAGTAAAAAAATTTACACTACAGTTCAGATTTATTTCTAATTTTTAATAACATCACGGCACAATATGATCTGCGTTGGATGAATTTTAATGGCTGTGATTGCGCCGCTCAGGGACGCTGAGGGAAGAGGACGCTGAGAGTATCCTCTTCCGAATTTCACAAATATACTTTCACACATATGATAGTAGCAATGGTAATTAACGAAGGAATCATTAGCCAGCCTTTGCATCTTACTATCTTGGGAAAGGATTATAAAAGTAAAAGAAAGAAGAATGTATAAATGGAGGATTGAAAAGAGAAAAAAGGTCCAGCCCTCGAAGATGACAAGCAGGACGTGATGGTTTTGACTACGAGCCAGGTAGAAGGTGATCTCGTTTATGCTTCAGACGAGTTTTTAGAGGGAGAAATTAGAGAATAGTATAGTACTACCAGGATGTGAAACGGCCTTTTGTTATGTATTTATTTTAAAAACCCACAAACAATAAAAGCCTAACCATCGACAACAAACTGAGGTCTTTCTCTCTCTCTTTTTTCCTTAGTGTTCTGTGTACGGGATGGGATTCAGAGAGTGAGAGAAAAGTTATGTTGTGGAGGAAGAGCCGAAGAGGATATGAGAAGTATAAGAGCATTTTGGTGTTTTCCCCAACTTTTCCTGACTTTTAAGGTATTTATTTGCATTTTTTCAATAAAATAAGCCCCCAATGACATAAAAACTTTAAGGTTTAATATAATTTTTAATCCTTAAAATTTGAGCCTATTTTAATTTTAGTTTCTTAAATTTTAAATCTATGATTTTAGTTTTTGGAATTTAGTTCGCGTTAAAACTTTAGTTTAATGGTATTTAAAATCTAATAGTGTCATAAACAATGTTACAGTGATAGTAATAATATCTAACTGGATTTTGTGTAGATAACAAAAAGGAAAAAAAGAACATATCCTCAAAATGCAGCTTTTTAGTTTTTTTTTCCTCATTAACGTTGTATTCTATTATCCATATAAGATTCAGTTAAATGTCATTTAGTGAATCTACATCAGTATTTTTAATGTTATCAATAACATTTCATTAGATTTTAATACCTTTGTATGGTTAAGGATTTTTTTTTTTTGACCAGTGTATGGTTAAGGATTAACACTTTTAAGACAGACAAAATTTTAACACAGGCCTCAAACTTCATGGCACTGTGCTACATGGCAGGCATTGAGGCTTCGTGCAAATTTACGGGTGGACAACTCCTTATTTGGACCTATTGGTAACAATATCTGTGCAGGGTTCATCTTGTTTCCCGATGGATCCTCGTCGTATCGGCCTGCCACGCTCGGGCCCTTCTTCTTATGCCTCGTGAGGTCCTCGTCTCCACTGCTCCTTGTTTTCCAAATCTTAGAAACACCGAGTTTGGCTATCCTTCCGTTTGATGTAGAAATGGCAGTTGTTAGTTTTGAAATTGGTAGAAATTCAGCTTTTGCTTTGCACTGTTATGGAAATTCGTTTTCTTCCGGGCTTACGATATCTGGGAGACCCTTTCTCGGTACATCTTTAAACGCGAGAAATGCAGGGAAAGGTCATGTTTTTCATGCTCAAAAGCTCAATTATGGACCAGTTTGTGCTTCGCTGAAGAGTGGCTTGAACTCTGGGTTGATTAATGATGGTCTACTTTCAAGTGAATTTGAGTTTAAGCCATCATTCGATGATTATTTGAAGGAAATGGAGTCTGCCAGAACTTCCTCCAGAAATGTTAGGGTAAAGGAGCATGCTACTGGTGCTGAAAAACAGAAGAGGGAAAAGGTTATGTCGAGGAAACCAAGGTTGGATGGAGTTGAAAAAGGTGCAAAATTTGGAAAGCTTGTAGGGCGCATGAACAAAAAGAATGAGTTAGGAATTGCTGAAAAAAATGGGCCATTACAAGTAGTTGAAACAGTCATGGGCAAAGAAAGCTCCTCCGTAGGTCATATTGAGCTCAGAGGACGAAGGTTTAAACGATTTGACCTTGAGTATGACGGGAACAAAAGCAAGCTTGATATTACTGTGAAGCAGAAAAAGGAGGCAGAGGTAATGGAAAACAGGTGGTTGGAATACGGAATAAATAAATCAAAACCAGATTCTGACAGTAATTTGATTAAAAGGGAACGAAGAAAGACAGGCCATAGCAAAGGTTCACTCAATTGGAATAGTAACTGTGGGAACACCATAGAGGGGGAAGTCGGCCATAAATTACATACGTTAAAGACAGCAGGAGGAACGGACGTTACAACCAGTCAAATATGCTGCAACCCAAAAGGGAAAATGCCAGTCATAAACAAAACTGTTGTTAGCAGCAATGTTCTGCACAATGGACGCGAGAAAAGCTACACAAAAAATGAGAACGTGGGGAAAGAAAATGGACCGAAAAATCTCAACTTGAATGGAAAGAAAAGTCGTGATTATGACAACTTGGAGGTGGAAAGAGTAGCATTTAAGACTTTTGAAGAGTTCAATGGTGTTGTCAACAAGCCACAAGTTTCACACAAGGAAATGGAGGATAGAATCATGAGGCTGGCAAATTTGTATGGAGTCATTTCCTTCTTCTTTGCTTATGGAATATATAAAAATAGAAAATATTTACTCAGAAGTTTAATTTATTATTGATTTTTATTGCATTATTATTTTCATTCATGAACTAAGAAATCGAAGCAGTGTGCATGAGGAACATGTATAAGCCATGTGCTGCAGAAAAGAAGGAAAAAGGGATAAAAATATGATGCAAATAGCATTGACGATCATGAATAGGATGTCTCAATTGCCACTGAAGTATTCTTGGCGTAAAGATTAAATTAGAAGTAAAGCTGGTCTCCTAAAGATGAACTTCTGTGATTCTAAATTTATTGTTTCCTACTTACACTTCTGGAGTGGGCATTCGCTTGCTTCCATCACTGTAACTGATACCTTGAGGATAAATTTTGTTTTCATGTGATGTAGTCATCTTTTCCTTTCATTTTATGCCCTTTCATACTTGATAAATATTTGATTCTAGTGTTTTTTAGTTATTTAAATCATACTAAGTTGTGTCTTTTTCTGCCCCGTTGATCATTTTCTCAAACAGGTTGAATGGTGCTGATATAAATATTCCTGAATGGATCTTTTCTAAGATGATGAGAAGTGCAAAGATAAAATTTAATGATTATTCTATTGTGAGGGTTATCCAAAGATTGGGAAAACTAGGAAACTGGCAGCGGGTGATACAGATCATTGAATGGCTTCAAAGGCGTGAACGTTTCAAATCCCATAAGCTAGGGTACTTATATCCTTCTCTAAATCGATAGGTCTTGTGCTTGACATTATAGTTAACGTTGTGTGATGTATTATCTGGGGCATATAACTCAGATTTTGTGAAAACCTTATTTTAATTTATATTACTGGCAAATGAAAACCTTTGTTACGGTTGGCTCGTTTGAAATGGCCAGTCATACTTTCAGGCTAAATTGGAACCTTTATGGCATTGCACTTTGTTTTTATGTGCTCCCTTTTTTCTTTTCTTCTCGTTACTAAGGTGCATGTTTTCATCCTTCATGCATGTGGCTTTGATTTCTCTGCAAAATTTGTTTTCTTTATATATGGAAACGGAACTTGAAGGTCGTGAAGTTTTATTTTTGGCTAGCCCTTGGCTTTGTGTGCTTTGAGTATCCTTTAATGAGTGGATCTTCAACACCAGCCACATATACACTGCTGCTCTTGATGCACTTGGAAAGGCAAGGAGACCCATAGAGGCGCTAAATGTATTTCATGCCATGCTGGTAATGCATCATGCTCTTTTGTTGGGAAATATTCGTTTCTTGATATTGAGGTTGGAATATGGAGTTTGCATTACTTTCCTAACGCACTTTTCTTTTCTTCCAGCAACAAATGTCCACATATCCTGATTTGGTGGCTTACCATAGTATTGCTGTCACTCTTGGACAAGCAGGGCACATGAAGGAACTCTTTGATGTGATTGATATCATGCGGTTGCCACCTAAGAAGAAGTTCAAAGTAGGAGCACTTGGTAACTGGGACCCTAGGCTGGAACCTGATGTCATAGTTTATAATGCCGTAAGTTATAGTTAGTGAATAATTTGTGCAAGAGATGACAGTTTTACTTCTTTCAATTCTTTGAAGGATTTCTTAGATTGGATTGAATGGACTTTGGTCCAACTTTTTAAATTCTTGAGATTATAAGCTGAAGCTTTGATGGAAAGTTGGATATATTTGATTGTATATGAAGATTCACACCTCTTCAATAGGACATAGAAAAGGAAGATCAATATATCACAAACAATCCCCACTATTACAGCAGCTAATCACTCTTGAAAACTAGAGAAATTGTGAGAAACTAGAATGTATGACCCATGTGTTGAATGGAATGAAATATTTGAGATAGGCAAATGTTGTGCCATTTAACTTCAAATAAGTCAAATTTAGATGTCTCAATCACTAAACACATAGCTAAGTTTGGCAACCCCTCCAAAAGTCACTTTTGCACTTTACGACATAAAATTCCTCTCATATATTTCTCTCAGACACTGCAAAATCATTTAAAATAAGCTAAATCAAACATCTCATACAGTCCAAAAAACATTATTCACAAGCCAAGACACACAATTTGGCTTCTTATAGAATTTATATATTAGTAGATAAAAGCATAAAAATAGAGCAAGCAAAGCAAATGACAGAACTCCTTTGACTTTCAAGAGGTCAGGTATCTCCTGGCAACACTAAAATCCTTGCTTGCCTTGCCACTACAGTTTGTAAACACCCACTCGCTCCATGTAGACACACTCATACACCCATGAACAAACAAAATACAGATGCACCGGCATAGTGACCACCTTTGGGACCACTTCCTGCCCCCTCCTAGATCCTCTTTGAGCCCAGGCATAATCATTACCCTGCCTCATAACAGACGCGTCTTTGGCCTATCCTCTAGTGTAGACTTGGCCCAATAGACTATTATAGATAAGTTATCTAATTTTTTTCTTCAAATTTTTAAATTTACAATCTCAAATTATATTAGTTTAATTTTGACCAATGCAATCATATTGCAACCGTAGTCGAACCTTTGAACCTTGGACCGGTACTTTGTCTGTTTCATTGTCTGGTCTGGTTACGAAAACGTTGGAAATGATTTGGAGGCAAAAATGGAAGATCACATCATACCACATGTGACAAAGTTCAGGTATATGGTATCAATTATATAAAATGATGGTGAAATTGATGGGGATATTATACATTTAATACAAGTGGGTGGTTTAAATGGAAAAAGGCTAGCGGGGTTATTTGTGATAAGAAAGTACCTATTAAGCTTAAAGAGGGGTTCTATTGAACTACTATTAAACCGACAATGTTATGTAGTGGTGAATTTTGGGCTTTAAAGAGATACCAACGACATAAAGTTGGGCTAGCAAAAATGAGGATATTGAGATGCATGTCTAGTTATAAAAGAAAATGTAAGATTTGGAATGAACGTGTATGAAGAAGAATTAGTGTGGCATCTGTTGAGGAGAAAATGGCAGAAAGTTATTTGTGGTTGAGACATGTACAAAAAAGGTCATTTGTGGCACCAATGGGGAGGGTTAGACAAACAATTTTGAGTATAGTAAAGAGAGGTAGAGAAAGACAAAAAAAGGTTCAATGAAGTTATTAAATGGGAACTTTTGGTGAATAATATATTTAAAAATTTTGTTGTGGGTATTGTAATAGTTGAAAATAGGATCGGTATGCAGGATAAGTAGAACCATTTTTCATGCACCGTTTCAAAGGTTTTCTTTGTAGTGTACTACTTTTGGGTTAATTCAGGAGGTGCTCAAATAAAATGCTGAACTGAAACAGTTTCTGACTTTATCTTACATGAGGTAGCATCTACCTTGCTTAGATATTTTGGCTTCGTTTGTACTCTATGTTGCATTTTGAAAAATGGATGACTTCCTTAAATGGATGTTCCTGACAAAAGGCATCATGCTTGCATTTCCGCACATCATATTTGCATGCCCTTTCTTTTGTGTGATGTTTGATTGTGTCCTGATTACAATAGTTGAAGTGGATTTATTTATGCTAGTAGTTATTTTGTTTCTATGATTTAGTGTTTAATTCACATCCTTTGGTAAGTAATGCTCTGTGGTATAAATTAGATTTTTTTAAAATTAATTTGGAGTTGATTTAGTATTTCCATATACCAATTGAGCATGCAGGTCCTCAATGCTTGTGTTCAGCAGAAACAGTGGGAAGGGGCATTCTGGGTTTTACAGCAGTTAAAGAAGCAACGTCAACAACCTTCTGCGACAACTTATGGCCTTGTCATGGAGGTGATTGTAGCCTCTAGCTTCTTTATGTTTCATATTATTGCACACTCGTCCCATGTCTTAGTAATTGATTTGTAAAGTGAAATTTGGAATTTTTAATTCCCAGTTTTGTGATAAATAAAGTAGATTCTTTAGGGAGAGAATCCAAGAAGGGTCGATGAAGTATTCTCTAAGATTAGCAAAAGATGCAGCAGGGGGGAAATGACAAAACGGGGTAAAACTATTCCAGTAAAAAACAAAGTCTGATCCAAGGGAATAGTCGGAAGCATCATTTAAAAACTCTTGAATTGTTCAAAATAGATCACAAATGCACTGGTGATATTTCTTTTGCATTAATATTCGAGTAAGGCATTGTTTGGTACACAAACGGTAAAGCAAAATGAATGGGACAAGATTGTGCAATGTCCATTATATCCATATAATTATTTGTATAGAGTTGAAAATATTCTTCTGTATTTCATTGATTCTGGACAAGATGTATCAAATAGGGATACAGAGAGGTGCAAGAAAATATTCTTCTGTATTTCATTGATTCTGAACAAGATATATAAAATAGAGGCTAATCAATCTGGGCCTAAAAATAGGGGATACAGAGAGATGCAAGAAATACAAATAAAATCCAATCAAATCTCTAATAAATGTAAATATTTACGTACTAAATATTGGATTTTGACATTATTCAACGATTTCTATCTGTTTCAAATAGTTTTATGGGGAAGGGTATGGGAGTCATTTTCCCTCTGAAAAGTTATGTTTTTCAATATTTTAATCTCCATTCCATTCTGTACCAAAGAGTCTAAATCACACAAACTTTCCCTGAAATAAAAAGTTAGTCTACACTTGAATCCAAATTAAATTTTTTGCCTAAAATACACTCCATATGTGTAATTTTTAGTTCGTATTATATCAAACTGGGGAAAAAAAAATCAAATAGGGTATTCTGGTCATGAGATTAAAGATTAGATTATAGTGTGGGGTAATGAAGTAGGATGCCAAAATCTTACATTGAGTAATAAAGAATGCTTTATGGAGTATTTAAATGGGTTGGTTTTCTAACTGCAGTAGCCGGCTTGTCACTCCAATTGGATGCACATCAAATAGTATCAAATTTGGTAGTTATTGATTCCACAAAATGGTAGCAAATAGAGGGTTTTGACTTGTTGAGTATTTTGATCGATGAGTACACTGAGTGAAGTGTCATAGAATGTAGCTGTTGGGATGACAACTCTACAAGGAGGACAATTGATCTAGACTAAGGTAACATGTAATGCCTTGGCCATGTTGAGTAACCCTATGTGCCAAGGTGATTTGTGTATGTTTTGAAAATAGAGCAAAGGTTTGAACAATTTGAGCAAAATTCAAGGTAGATTCATGAATTTACTCATAATATTCTTTATTTGAAAATGAATTTCATTTAAGGTAACAACCTGTCTAAAACTTCACCTATGTTGCATAGCTGGTCCCAAGCCTGGATAATAGAGGAGGGTTGTGTTAGGCCCTCGATAGCCAACGTAAAACTCTGTCGAATCTTTATGACATAGATCAACGAAGAAATTGTGTTACTACTAGGTTGTTGCCCGGAAGTGACGTGCTGTATGGCTTGAGTACAGTGAGAAATGAGCAAGAGCCGTTGGATTGTCTCTCGAATGTAGTGTTAAATGAGCAAAGGCTATCGCACTCTTATGGACGGAGGCGGCTAAAGAAGTAAGTTCATGAAAGCAAGATCAGGTTTGGCACTTGGAACGTTGGGACACCGTATGGTAAATCAAGGGAAGTGGTGGAAGTAATGGGCAAAAGGAAGATTAATATTTTGTGTCTACAAGAAACTAAATACGTTGGAGAGAAGGCCTTTGAATTTACTAATGGATTTAAACTATGATATACGGGAAAGGTAGACACAAGGAATGGAGTTGGTATTATCATTGACAATGAATGGAAACAGAATGTGGTGGAAGTCAAAAGGATAGAAAACGGAATCATTTCTTTAAGAATAATTGTGGGGAAGGATACTATCAATGTGATTAGTGCTTATGCACCTCAAGTAGGAGCGGAAAACCATCTTAAGGAGAAATTTTGGATGGATATGGAGGGTTTGATTCAAAGTATACCAACCATGGAAAGGATTTTTATTGGCAGTGACCTTAATGGAGATGTTGGTAAAGATGCGAGACAATATGCTAGGACTCATGATGGTATTGGTTTTGGAGTGCGTAATAATGAAGGACAAGCTGTTATTGATTTCTCCCTCGTGTACAATCTCAAGATTGTTAACACTTGTTTTAAGAAGCGGGATGAGCATTTAATCATTTACAAGAGTGGAACCCATAGGTCGCAAATCGATTTCTTTCTGGTAAGAAATCTTGATAGAAAACTCTGCACAAATTGTAAAGTAATTCCTGGAGATGGCGTGACAGCACAACATAGAGTACTGGTCCTTGATATGCATATTAAATGTATAAAACAAAAGCGTCAACAAGTGTTAACTCCAAAGGTCAAATGGTGGCAGTTAAAGGGAGAGAAGCGAGAGATTTTCAAAAGGACGCTTTTAAATGAAGGGGTTTGGGAGCTACAATGAAATGCTGATCTTATGTAGATAGAAATGACTAAAGAGGTCCAGAAGGTTGCTAAAGCAATCTTGGGTGAATCGAAAGGTCGAGGTTGGAGAGATAAAGAGACGTGGTGGTGGAACGAGAATGTGTAAGAGAAAATTAGGCATAAACAAGAGTGTTTTAAAGCGTTATATTTGTGTAATAATACTGAAAATTAGGAAAGGTACTGTGTAACTAAAAAAACGACCAGGAGAGCAGTGGGAGAAGCTTGTGCTAAAGCGTTTGAGGAGTTCTATAAGGATCTAGAGACTAAGGCTGGGGAACGCAAGATCTACAAGATCATGAGGAATAAAGAAAGAAAAACAAGAGATTTGAACCAAGTAAGATGTATAAAGAACGAAGAAGGTAGAGTTTTGGTCACTGATGGTGATATTAAGGATCGATGGGAAGCTTACTTTTATAAGCTATTTAATGATGGGAGCGAAGGATAGACCTATGAGCTTGAAGATTTGACAATTGGAGAAGAAGAACATAATTTTGCTTTTTATTGAAGAATTCGAGTTGGTGAAGTTAATGAAGCTCTCAAGAAAATAGAAAATAATAAAGCAGTTGGATCTGATGGTATTCCTATTGAAGTTTGGAAATATTTGGGTGAAGGTGAGGTGTTGTGGCTTACTAAGTTATTCAATGAGATTTTACACTCTAAGAAAATACCTGATGATTGGAGGAAAAGTACTTTAGTACCTACTTACAAAAATAAAAGGGATATTCATAACTGTGCTAGTTATAGAGGGATTAAACTCATAAGCCATACCATGAAATTATGGGAGAAGGTCATGGAACATAGGTTGGGATTGGAGACTTGTATTTCTGAAAACCAATTTGGGTTTATGCCAGGAAGATCGACAACAGAAGCGATTTATTTACTAAGGGGTTTAATGGAAAAGTATCGAAGCCATAAAAGAGACTTGCATATGATTTTTAGTGATTTGGAAAAAGCTTACGACCGTGTGCCTAGAGAAGTGTTCTGGAGAGCCTTGGAGAAGAAAGGAGTGCGTGTCGCTTATATTAAAATCATACAAGATATGTATGAGGGGGTCATAACTAGTGTTAGAACACCAGGCGGTGAGATAAAGAACTTTCCTATAAGGATTGGCCTACATCAAACATCATCACTAAGCCCTTATCTGTTTAACCTAGTCCTCGATGTTCTAACTGAGCATATCATAGAAGAAATCCCGAAATGCATGCTTTTTGCTAATGATATAGTTCTATTGGTTGAGTCAAAAGAAGAGATTATCGCTAAACTTGAGACATGGAGAAGAACCTTAGAATCAAAGGGTTTCCATTTGAGTAGAAGCAAGACGGAATATATGCATTGCAGTTTTGATCAAAGACAAGTTAGTGCAGGGTTGGAGGTCAGATTGGGAGACCAGGTCATTCAACAAGTGGAAAAGTTTAAATATTTGGGATCAATTATACAAAAAAATGGGAAAATTGATAGAGATGTTAATCATAGAATTCAAGCTAGGCGGTTTAAATGGAGAAAAGCGACAGGAGTTATTTCTGATTGGAAAGTACCAAATAAGGTCAAAGGAAAGTTTTATAGCACTGCTACAAGACTGGCAATGCTATATGGCAGTGAGTGTTGGGCTTTAAAAGGACAATATGAACATAACGTGGCAGTTGCTGATATGAGAATGTTGAGATGGATGTGTGGTCATACGAAAAAAGATAAGACCCGTAATGAACATATAAGAGGAAAAGTTGGAGTGGCTGTTATTGATGAGAAAATGGTAGAAAACCGATTGAGATGGTTTGGTCAGGTGCAAAGAAGGCCTTGGGACATGCTGGTAAAAAGAGTTGAACAAATAATATGGAGTCCTCTAAAAAGAGTAAGGGAAGACCGAAGACAACATTTAATGAAGTCATTGAGAGAGATCTTTCAATTAACAATCTATCCAAAGATTTGGTTTTGGATAGGGCTCAATGGCGTCGTGCGATCCATATAGCCGACCTCACCTAGTAGGATAAGGCTCTGTTGTTATTGTTGTTGTTGTAACCACCTGTCTAAAGATTTAGTTGTTAATAGAGCACAGTGGCATCGAATAGTCCATGTAGTAGACCCCACCTAATGGGATAAAGCTTCTTGTTGTTGAATTTCTGTTAAGGATTTGAATTGTAAAGTCAAATAGGGCTTTCAATGTGAAAGTCTTTTGCTTTTGTATTTAAACGGGAAGAGATTACTAGTGCTTTTTATTGCCAGTTTATTGCTTTGTTTCTTCAACAGATTGCATTGTGATTTGCTACATCAAGAATATCCTTTAAGATGAAATTTTGAAATTCTTACCACCTAAGCCATTAAAATCAGTTGATGTTCCATTAGCAATCCTTACTGGAAAAAAGAAATCAGACCTTCAAACAAATGTATCAAGGTTAGGAATACCAAGAAATACTATATCAGCCTTGTGGTTTGTGGCACCTGAGCCGAGCATCCAGATATGGCTTTTTTAAGTTGAGTCATGAAAGGAATACATGTATGGGCCCTAACACCTGTGCTAATGACTTTTTCTGAAATTTGGCCTTGATGAGTTGTCTTTCTGTTACAAGGGATCAAATGTTATTGTATCTCAGTAAATGAATTAGGCACAAGAGGTTTCTCCTTGCTAGCTACCATAAGCAATGTGTTTCCCTTTGTTGTTGTGAGTCGTGACTTTGAATTAGCCGGATTCCATGAAGCTTCTAGCATATGTCCTTGATATGACTCGTCTTGTTGCTCCTTGATATGACTCTTCTTATTGCAGTGATAACACTGCACATTCCATCCTTTTTGGTCGAGCTCTGCAGCAATACTATTTCTAGCAACTATAGCAGAAGAATTATTCACGGCTGAGCATTTTGTCCATCACAAGTCAGCTGCTTCCTGCCTTCTTTCCATTTGATTTCATGGAACACCTCTTGAAGCAAGAGTCGTGCAAACATAATTTTCTCCCTCTACTCTTCAAAAAATTGAAGTCCCAGAAGATGGTAAATTCTTTCCTTCTTAACTAGATGGTAAATTCTTTTCTTCTTTACTAACTTTTGATGGTAGGTTACATCAACATTTGACATCCACTAATGAACTTCATACAAGTCCAGCTTCTGACACAACTTCCCTAGATTATTTAGTCTTAGGTAACACTCTGTTATAGAAGGATAATCTGGATAAGAGCAAAATAGGGAAAGAGGAGAGAAATAGAGGGGTAGGAGGGAAGAGAGGAAGATGGGGCAGAGAGGGAGAGAGTAGAACTAGTAGGGAGATTTTATTCCATTCAATCGATTCTCATAACCTGATTACCATCTACGCACCGCCTCTTATTTATAAGCCTAGGGATCCATTAACTAATTGCTTTGACTAACTCTAACCAGCTCTCTTCCTAATCATTATCATATGTCAATACGGCCTCCCAAGACAGACCCTTGCACTCAAGGGTCAAGTAAAGTCAAGAATCGGGAACTAAACAAGAATATAGGCTCTTGAATTCTGGGGAAAAATTTCTCTTGAATAGCAAAGGAATGATTCTCTGATTCTTTCCAGAGTCGGGTCTATAGAATTGCTCCATATCCTTGACTTGAGCCCCTGCTGCCATTGCTTTGTTCCTTTCTTTCTTCTTCCTTACTTTAAGAACTAGTGTTGAGGGTCCTACCATGTGCAGTACTTTTCCTTCTTTCTACTTTTTCTGCATGGCCCAAGTTATTGCCCACTGGACGTTATCTTCAAGAGTCAAGTACACTGAACATTTTAGTAGACATGACCCTATAAGCATCTTAACTAGACTCTCCTTGAACCACGTCAGATTCACACATAGAGTGGGGAGTTGGTGGCTGATTAAGATCTTGTTAATTGACCAGTGGACCCATGTATTGACCATGGACAATAGATGGCATCCGCCCATGAAACCATGCATTACCCACTTAAGCTGGAGGATAATTGGCTTTAAGGGTGTTTGCGTTAGTTTTTTAGAAGTGATTTTATGGTGTATATGATAAGTATGTGAAAGAAGTTTTGTTTTGACTTACGTAAAAGTATTTCTTTTAGTGCTTTTAAAACCACAATGAAACCCAATGCAACATTAGAGAGATTCTACGTCAAGCACACAGCCGTGTGGAAACTTCTTGAACAACTCGTCCGCCTTTTGTTTTTGATTTTAAGCCTTGGTGGTAAGCTTCCTCTTCTGTGGCCATCCTCTTCATCGTTTTGGAAGGATTCTTGGGGTCAAAAGAGGTCGTTTTGGTCTCTGCAGAGGTGATTTTCTTTCTCTGTTGGTTCCCACCACTCACAAGGGCATTCTGGCAAGGCATTGGCATATTCTGAAGAGACAGTGTAAAGGCATTTGTCCTTGAAGCCAAGTAACCTCCCCACCTTGCCTCTACAAAGATATCCCGTGTAATCTTGCCAAACTTTGAGCTTCACACAGAGTTTGAAGTTTGAAGAGACGGACTGGTCTTCTGTAGTCTACTTGTAAGGCTGTAATATAGGCATCTGCAGAAGACTCTCTGGGCAAGTGAAGTTTATAGGAGAGTCAAATTCATCAATGAGTTCTGCCAAAGAACATCATTGTCGAAGATGGAGCAAGTCACCTATGGGTGTCTTGTAAACATGTCCCGTGTACTTGTCCCTAGCAGGTACATCATTGCCCCACCTCTGTTCTTCCTGATCACGACAACTATTTGGGTGAGCAAGGCTGCTTCTCTGTCGCGCATCAATTTTTGCAGTCGTATGGATGTTCCAAGAACCCCCTTAGTTAATGTATCAATGGAATCCATTTTCTCTAATCATCATTCAATATTCTGAAGTCATTGCTCTATTGCTTGAGTTTTCTTGCAACTGGGTTTCAACCATGGATGCATCGTCCTTCTGGGTGCCAGGTATTAAGTGGCTCTGGTACCACTTTTATAGAAGGATAATCTGGACAAGAGAAAGATAGGGAAAGGGGAGAGAAAGAGGGAAATATAGAAAAAGTTGAAGATAGAGAAAGAGGGAGACGATAGAATTGAGAGGGAGTATCTCATTCACCCTATTCTGATAAACTGATTGCAATCTACCGAATCCCTCTTATTTATAAGCCTAGGGATCCATTAACTAACTCTAACCAACTCTCTCCCTAATTACAATAATATATCACGCTCAAATTCTCTTGTCTTACATCATGAATGGTTCCCTTGATATGAAGAGATGAATAGGATTCCTTAACACCTTCCAATATCTCCTCGGCTAGTTTTCATAGCACAGCTGTCTCCTTGATCTCTATTGTCATGGAATTCACATACAATGGCATGATTGCATGTTTTCTGCAAGTGATATCTTGCATTGAGAATCTGGCATTTTGGGTTGGATGTTGTCTCCCCTGAGATAATCTTCTTTTCGACAGCCTTGGGTGAAAATTATAGCACTTTGAAAACATAGCAAGTAGTTATTTTACTTATGCCCTTTTAATCTGTGCCTGTGATTATCACAGGAAGATTTTTGGCAGCCATGGAGACGGATGAAATATAGTTGAAGCTTTTTGTCTGTGTTTGATGAAGAGATGCTGATGAAGAGTCTGCAATGCTGGGCTTTGACATATGAGAATTTCTGTTCCCTTGCAAACCATGGAAACTTAGAGACCCTTTTTTCTAACGTGTTCCTTTATTGAAGGAAAAAAGTGTGACATCCATAAATTAAAAACGTAGACCAGGAGAGTTTTGACCTCCCTTATCCTATAGTTACTAGAAATATAACTAAATCAAGTTTACTTATCCTACTCTAGCCAAAACTAGCTGACAATTATAACTAGAATAAGTAATACGCATAAAACAAAACTTATCATAGCAGAACTAATGACATCATGTGGAACGAAACACTTGACACCCATAGCAGCCAAGAAATGTTGTTCGAGTGTGCATGACCCATCAATTCCTCACGAAAGCTGAAGTTAGAACCTTCCAAACATGAAAAGACAGTAAAGGACAAAAGATATGATATACATGAGAGCTACTTTTAATGGGCTAGCATCATGGGTCCCACTGTGGTCGTCATGTCTGGTCTGACAGTACCACTTTGCCACTGGCCCCAGTCTTTTCCTAGGTTTACCTCACATTTCCCAACTGTTAAAATTTTTGGTGAAAACAGACTCGTTGTATTGTTAGAAAATTAAAATTTAAAGAAACCTGTAGCTAATGCTGTATTTTTACTAGCTACCAATGCAATTGCTTGTGCAAATGTCAGCTTGGCTGTCATTGATAATAAATTTTTACTCTTTAATTTGTGTATGCTTGAGCAGGTGATGTTTACTTGTGGCAAGTACAACCTAGTTCATGATTTTTTCATGAAAGTTCAGAAGTTTTCTATTCCCAATTCATTGACATACAGAGGTACAGTCATGTATTTTCCATATTATTAAGTCTGAGGTAATGTGGAATGGAATTCTTTTATTTCTGAGTCTGAGGAGTACAGAATATATACACAGGAGGGTAATGATTAGGAGCCCAAGAAATTAGCGATACAATAAAATCAGATCCTAAATTAACTCCTATCACTATGGCTATTCGCATCATAATCTGATAGTAACTTCACACATGAATATGAAATTATGTAATTTTGAGATGATTTTGATCTTGACCATGATGCTACATCCAGTTCTTGTGAATACACTATGGAAAGAGGGCAAAACTGATGAGGCCGTATTGGCTGTGCAAGATATGGAAAGACGTGGCATCGTAGGTTCTGCTTCTCTGTATTATGACCTTTCTCGATGTCTTTGTGCAGCTGGAAGATGTAGTGAGGCACTGATGCAGGTAGTTTTCATAGAATCTAATATCTCAAAGTCGCTTTTTTTTTTTTGGGGGGGGGGGTGTGTTCTGGAAGTTGGGAGGGGCTAAAGGCTAAAGGCTTATTCTGTTTCCTTGAAGATCATGCATTTCTCTGAAAATATTGAGGCACATTTAAGGGACATGGTACATACAAATACTTGCACCACCTGTGCTTAAAAAGACTTCGAAGTGTTGAAATCTGAGGAAAAACTTATGGTTTGGGGTTTTTTGGTGGGGTTTTGGGGGGGGGGGGCGTTTTGTGTAGAACCCTTTTCTAAAGAAGCTTACAACAAGACTAAAAACCAGAAATAAACTACACTGAAATGAGAATGTACTCTTATTGCATAAAGAAAACGATTACAACACAGTATATGACCATGAACAAAAGATACAACAGGTACCTCACGCTCAGACACAACTCTCCCAACCAGACGGCAACTCTAGAACATAGACACGCAACAAGTTTGCTAACTTTCGAGAGGTTGGCACTCTCCTCCCCCAAGGGCCAAGCCACAATGCAAATTCTTCTCCCCTTTTCTCTCTCAACCAGAAGGAGGATTTAAAGACCCAAAAAGTGACTAGCACAGCCCCCAACGTTACCCCATAGCCCCTGCTAACAGCAAGCCTAGTCTCCTATGTCTTTATTCAAAACAGTAGAATTTTCTAAGTCAATGCTCTGACCAACAAAAGGTGACTTTGTCTTTTCTTGTATTATCCTAATTTTCCTTTTGTATGTCTGATCAGCGAAAGCAGTCCTGGCAGGGTATAATAGGAGAGAAGTCAGGACTTTTTGGCTAATGGAGAATGGTCTGGTTCAAAATGTTTAAGTTTTAGAACTTCTTATTATAATTGTAGATGAGGGCCAAAATCTCTCACCCGGGGTTGGGGGCTAGGGGGGCTCAGAATATCTTAGTTCTTGTTAGATCGCCCAGTTACCCTCAATTATGAGTGATGCAATATTGATAGATATTCTTCGACTTTTACAAACCGACTTCTTTCGCTTCTCAACCACTTTTCAGAATGGTAATTCAATTATGGAATTTAATGAGCTTTTGTAAGCAATAATATATATGCACTAGAAGACTTGATCACAGAAAGTGTTGCTCATCCTATGACAGATAGAGAAGATGTGCAAGGTTGCAAACAAGCCACTTGTAGTGACATACACGGGCTTAATTCAAGCATGTCTGGAATCTGGAAACATCCAAGGTGGGGCATACATTTTTGAAAAAATGAAGGATATCTGCTCCCCAAACCTTGTTACTTGTAACATGATGCTTAAAGCTTACCTGGAACATGGGATGTTTGAGGAAGCAAAAGAATTGTTTGAGAAGATCTCAGAAAACACAAATCATGTGAAGAGAAATTCTGATTACAAAGTTGTGGTGATACCAGATATTTACACATTCAACACCATGTTAGATGCATGCATTGTAGAGAAGAGATGGAATTATTTTAACTATGTCTACCAAAAGATGCTATACTATGGCTACCACTTCAATCCAAAACGTCATCTTCGAATGATACTGGAGGCATCAAGAGCTGGAAAGGTAATTTTCCTTTTAACTGCTGTGCGCGCGCGCAAGTGAGTGGTTCACTTATGATTCTTGGAGAAGTGAATACGTACGATATGTCGTGTGGGTAGTTGAGGGTATATGCCTGATAGTTAATTGAAAATAGATAAGGTCTATTCAGCAAGCCTACTTGGTAAGCCAACAAGGAAGAACAATACTGTGTTTCAGAATGTGTTTGTGTTCTTTTGTGGTGATGGGTTCTTTCTCCGGAATAGGTCCTGTGTGGCATATTTTAAAATATTTTTTGTCACAATTTTTGACCAAGTTATATTGATTAACGAGAAATATTTAATGTTAAATTGTAATCAAGTAATTAAATAAAAATGCTTATTATCATGTGCGCCATGTCACTTTTACCGTTTATTTTTCGTTTCTCTCAGTAGTTAGAAGCTGTAAATTGGTGGAAACCCGTTAAACGTTCCATTAACTCGAGAACTTTGAATATTTGGCAGGAGGGGCCTATTGAAACGACGTGGAAGCACTTGATCCAAACAGATCGTATTATTCCAGCTACTCTGATAAAGGAAAGATTCTGTATGAAGCTTGAAAAGGAGGACTATGTTGAAGCTCTTGGATGTATCACCAATGATCTCTCCAAAGACTTGCAGGCTTTTTCTAAGCTGTCTTGGTTTAATCTATTGAAAGAAAATGTCCCGCGCTTTCAGAAGGATACACTAGTTAGGTTAATGGATCAGGTAAATACCCTAGTTTCCAATAGTAGCTTGCCACTTCCGGCACTTGAAGCACTTGAAAACCTAATGCTATCTTTGAGAGAATTTTGTACCACTGACCTTAGTGTGACTGCCATCAAATAGGTGGTTAATTCCAGATGAACTTCTGTGTAAAGAGCACTGTAATTGTAATGTATGCTGTTTTTAACACCAATGGCTAAAATTTTGATGTCAATGAGCACTGCCACACTTTTTGTTTTTTTTTGGGGATTATCTGGTGGTCTGGCCAGTCTCGTTTGCAGGGTAACATTTTTTTTTTGAATTCGTTTTTATGTTTTTATAACAAAAAACATGTATTGAGAGTTATGTTGCAAGATAAGTATGAATAGATGGCGAAAACTCATCGAAGAATTGAAGTTGCAAGTTGAAGCCAATGCCTACAGCTACAGGACCCTTAGGCTTAGCTTAGAAGTTTTAGTTTGCCTCTTGTAATAGGTAGTAAGAGCTTTTATCATAAACTATAAGTGATTTTTGAAAATGATTTTTATCAAAGAAAACGTATCTGAAGGCTCAAGAAGCTTAAAAATCGGCTTAAGCTAATCAGAGGTTAGTTATATGTTTTGTCAAAAACTAAATCCATTGACCCTAGCATTAGTTGACTGATATAATATTGATAGTGGTAAGAGTTGGTTCTCCTGATTTTTTGACCGATCAACCAGTGTCTTTCAATCAAGGGAAAATTTCGATTAAAAATGATGGGAATTAATTTCAAAAAGTTCCTAAAAAGTTCTGAAATATCGTTACAGGAACAAAAGATCAAACTGAAATTAATATTAGGAGTAAGATTACAATAATAACCTTTATTTTTTTTATTTTTTTTTAAAAACAAATATTAATGGTCGTCAAAGTTCTGGCCATTGGTGCTGAGGTGGCTGTCACCAGAGGTTGGAGCTTCGGTAGCCACTATTGTAGCTCCAGTGGCCGGATTTTTTTTTTTTTTTAAATAAGGTGGCCAAGGGAAGGTTTGAACCCATAACCCTTGGCATACCAAAAATGATGTGACCACCAAGCCAAGCAAATCATTTAATTATGTCATGCAAATAAAAATATATATAACAAAGCAAATGCAAATGTCCAAGTGAAATTCGATAATTTACAAGTGAAATTCAGTAATTTACAACAAAAATTTAACAATTTACAAATAATATAATAGAATTCACAACCCCAAATACAAGTGTTTAAGTGTAAATGAGCAAGTGAAATTCGACAATTTACAACAAAAATTTGACAATTTACAAATAATATAATGGAATTCACAACCCTAGATGCAAGTATTTATGTGTAAGTGAACAAGTGAAATTTGATAATTTACAAGTGAAATTCAGTAATTTACAAATTTGGCCATTTACAAATAACATAATGGAATTCACAACTCTAAATGCAAGTGTTTAAATGTAAATGAGCAAGTAAAATTCGACATTTTACAACAAAAGTTTATGAATTTACAACATAAATTTGGCTATCCACAAGAAACACAAGAAAATTCACAACCCAAAATGTAAGAATTTGAGTGTAAATGAACAAGTGAAATTTAGCTATTTACAACCTAAATTCAGTGATTTATAAGAAACATAAACATTACAAAACTAATAAGAGAATTCACAACTTCAAATACAAGTGTATTAATGTTTCTCATTAATCGTTGAATTTGGGTTGTAAATATGTTGATTGTTGTTGTAAATCACTAAATTTCACTTGTTCATTCACACTCAAACACTTACATTTTAGGTTGTGAATTTTCTTGTGTTTTTTATGAATAGCTGAATTTCAGTTGTAAATCTATAAACTTTTATTGTAAATCTTCAAATTTCACTTGCTCATTTACACTTAAATACTTGTATTTGGGGTTATGAATTCCATTATATTATTTGTAAATTACCAAATTTTTGTTGTAAATTGCTGAATTTAACTTGTTAATTATCAAATTTTACTTATTCACTTACACTTGGACACTTGCGTTTACTTTGTTATATATATTTTTATTTGCACCATATGATTAGATGGTTTGCTTGGCTTGGTGGTCATATTATTTTTGGTGTGCCAAGAGATTATGGGTTCAAACCTTCTCTTAACCACCTTATTTTTAAAAAAAATTCTGGCCACTGGAACTACAATAGTGGCCACCGGAGCTCCAACTTCTCGCGTTGTCCACCTAAGCACTGGTGGCCAGACCTCCAACCTCCGGTGGCCGGAATTCTGGTGACATTAATATTTATTTTTTTAAAAAAATAAAAATGAGGGGTATTATTGTAATCTTACTCTTAATTTTAATTTCAGTTTGGTCTTTTGGTCCTGCAGTGACATTTCAAAATTCTTTGAAAGTTGTTTGAAATTAATTCTCATCTATGGTCCTTAATCGAAATTTTCCCTTCAATCAATTAATCACGTTTTGAAAGGAACACCTCTCATTTAACTTGGTGGATTAATGACTAAACAGTTCAAATTTAAATCATGTGTCAACTGTATAAAATCTTGATTCAAATCTTTCGTGAAAGATGCCTAATTCTTTTATTTATTAAGACTTTTTTTTTCCTATGAGTATTATAATTGGTAAGGGTATTCATGAGACAGAAGAGGGACAACTTTGTCCCATGTCCCGTCTTGTCTTAAAGCCATTCCGGTTCAAATTGGGATAGTACGGAACCAAGATGAGACTGTGACATCCTGTGAAATTTTTTAAAAATTTTCAATAAAAATTTTTTATTGCCATTTTGATTATAATTTTTTAACCAAAAGTAATTAGCCAAAATCCTATTGCCTTCCAAATATAGTTTTAAACATCCAAATAATACGTAATAAAGTAATAATAGTTTAAGTAATAGTAGTGAATATTTGATTTAATTAGCAAATAATCATGTTGTTATTATTATTATTTTTTTAAGTTTTGACAAGTAGAGATTGATTACTTAAACTCCCCCCCCCCCTCATGATTCAAAATTTCTCAAAGTGAATGTCGCATGTGGAGGCCATATCCTTGATTTCAATTAAGTCTAAACAAATATTTACAATAATGCATTATCATATCATATTGATTGAATCTTGTTTAATTTACTTTTTTAAAATATTTTTTTCTTTTTTTTTTATAGATATCAAAGTAAAAAAAACCCTTAAATATACAAAATCCCAAATTAGTACCAGTGAAAAGCAAATGCTCATCTCAAAACAGGAGTATTGATTTGGTATTTCTAAATATTGGCAAAAACAAAGCTTGTGTTTTGTAAATTGGTAAAGAAAAAAACAATGCAAAAAGCAAGTTAATATAGTCCATTTATGTAAAGGCGATATCAATCAATATGAAAGAGTTGTCGATGCGCCTAACAAGGGGACAATATGTGATTTGCCTAAATTTCCTAATTGGTCTGCCTTACAATGAATTTCACTGATTATTTGTTGTCAATATTATATGAAATTGTTGTTAATCTATTTAGAAGAGTTGTCAATGGCCCTATCCAGTTTACATAGCATGTGATTAGTCAAAGTTTGTCAATTGGTTTGCTTTACAATGAATTCCCCTAATTACTTGATGTTAATACATATAAAAGTATTGTTAATTTATTTAAAAGGATTGTCAACACGCATAATAAAATTGTAATGACATTTCCTAATTACTTGTTATCAATACATATAAAAGTGTTATTAAGCTATTTTGAAAAGTTGTCAATGCATCTAACAAAGTTGTTAATTTATTTACATGATGGCAATTGGTTTGTCCTATGAAGAATTTCCCATATTATTTGTAGTGAATACATATAAAGGTGTTGTTAACGAATAAATATTATACAATTTAAGTGGGGTTTTTTCAAATACAAGTAGTTACCAGATACTACACAATTGTCAAAAGATTTGATAAAGTAATAAGCATGTAATTCATACATTATCATCACATAACTTCAACTGACAACAAACTTGCTCACTACTTTGACAAGTACTGTCACTTTGCTGTCTTTTTTGGTTGTTCAAGAAGCTTCAAAACTTCAGCCCTTTTATAATTTTCATCATGATTAACTAGCTATCACAAGAGGTCATGTCTAAATGTAGTCATTTGTTCATACGTGTATTCCAATACCACGTTCGGATCTCATTTACTTAACCATGTAAACATATGCACACCAAAGATTTCTCCAAAGTAGTAAAAGCCAGTAATTAATTCTAATTCCATGAAACAAACCATTTTCAACAATAATTATATCAAGTTAATGCCACTTAGAAATTACTTTGATGTGGTATGGGAGGCATAATTATATTCGTCTTTGGCTTCTTCCCAATGTCTTATTCATACCTTATTACTATCGAACACAAACATAGAGGTAGAAATTTCAGGATGTCACATCTAATAATTTTTTTCAATTATTTTTTATATGTATATTTTTTCCAGTTATTTGAATGATGATAGCCATAATAGTCTCAAACATCCCCCATGTATGACACCTCTAAACCTGAATTTTATTGCAAAGATTAAAGAGTGAGTTGCTGCCCAAAAAAAAATTGAGAGGACCACAAATTCATGCACTTGTCTCCAGCATTATGCTTACGGGCCTTTGGGAGTTCCTAGTTTAAGAAATCTTGACTTTGTCTCCAACGTTTACGTGGTGAAGGAATCAAATTAAAGATTAATCCATTAATAATAATTTATTTACTTGCGGTCACGGTTGCGGGTATGGAATTGCCAATCGTCATGGGAAGATGTCCCTGCTGCTGCAAGGCCATTGCACCACCGCCTCCTCCTCATACTCCTCCTCTACCACCACCAATAACCGACGATGATGAGTCCCCCGGCTAGCTCAAGACTCGAGCTATGTTGTCTTTGTCTATATATCTATACGTATATCTATGTCTTTGTGTCTATCTCTGCATTTCTTGTCTTTCGCTTAACTTTTGAAGTAATAGTTACAACATTGAGGTATGAAAAGACAGAGAGTGAGGGAAATGGCAGAGCACAATGGGTCAGTGAAGCAACGATTATGAGTTTATGTTGGAAAAGACAACGGTGTGACGGGAGTGAGGAAGGAGAGCTGTGGCCGTGCGGGGAGAAGTGGGAGCAGGGCAATGACGTCTTTTCCGAAAATTTTCAAATTCCAAATTAGTGCTTGTAATCAAATGTGGGGTTTAGATATTTTGAGGGTATTTATATGGAATTTTGCCAAAAACTTATTCAAATATATGACTTCCGTTCAC